AATTAAACTATATAAAAATTTAAAACTTCCGTGTATCAAAGAACACAATCAAGAGAGTAAAAAAACAATCACAGGATGGGAGAAAATATTTGCAAATTATGTCTCTGATAAGGGGTCAATATCCAGAATATATTAAAAATTCCTACAATTCAAGAACAACAACAGAATAAACAGCATAATTAAAAAATGGACAAAGGACTTGAACAGATATTTCTCCAAAGAAGATGTGCAAATGCCCAATAAGCACATGAAAAGATGGTCAACAACTTAGTCATTAGGGAAATGCAAATCAAAACCACAATGAGGTACCATGCCACATCTGCTAGAATGGCTCTAATCAAAAAGACAGACAGTGGCAAGTATTGTGAATGAGGAAAATTTGGATTCCTCATAAATTCCTTGTGCAAATGCAACATGATGCCATCCTTTTGGAAAGCATTTCAGCATTCCTAAACATGTTAAACATAGTTACCATATGCGCAGAAATTCCATTCCTAGGTATTTACCCCCCCAAATTAAGGCATATGTTCACACGAAAACTTGTACACTGAGGTTCATAGCAGCATTATTTATAATAACCAAAGAATGGAAACAACCCAAATGCTCATGAACTAATGAATGAATACACAAAAATGTGGTGGATTCATACAGTGAAATATTATTCAGCCATAAAAAGAATGAAGTACTAATACATGCTACAATATGGACGGAACTTGAAAATGTTATGCTAAGTGATTAAAGCCAAACACAAAAGACCACATGTTGTGTGATTCCATTTACATGTACTGTACAGAACAGGCAAATCCATAGAGACGGGAAATAGATTTGAGGTTTCCAAGGGCTGGGGAGGTGGGAACGGGGAGTAACTGCTAGTGGGTACAGAGTTTATTCAGTGAAGAAATTGCTATGGACTGAATTAGACAGTAATGGTGGTTGTACAACTGTGAATATACTAAAAACCAGTGGAATGTACACTTTAAAAATAATTTTTAAAATTTTAAAAGTGCAGCAAATAGCATTATACATGTCATTTCATACATGTGTTAGTGCATGTATAGGATACATTCCTAGAAAGTATAGCCAGGTCAAATAGAACATGCAATTTTAAATTTGGTAGAAATTGCCAAACTGCCCTACCTAGGTATTTTAAACATAAAATGTTAAAAATTTCACTAGCAATGAAGGAACCTGCTTGCTGCTTCACAACCTTGTCATAAAAGCATGTTACTAAACCTTTGGATTTTTGTCAGTCTGATGGGATCATGGGCAGATTTTTAAAAAAGAATCGTGTTAATTATTTTTATTTTCAAAATGTAAGTCACTTGAAAGAGATTAGAAGTAAATACACAGGAAAACAAAAATATCATAAAATGTTAAAAATTTCACTAGCAATGAAGGAACCTGCTTGCTGCTTCACAACCTTGTCACAAAAGCATGTTACTAAACCTTGGATTTTTGTCAGTCTGATGGGATCATGGGCAGATTTTTTTAAAAAGAATCGTGTTAATTATTTTTATTTTCAAATTGTAAGTCACTTGAAAGAGATTAGAAGTAAATACACAGGAAAACAAAAATATCATCAAAAACTCCTACCACCTGAATGTAGCCATTATGAAAACCTGATGAATATTTTTTCAGACATCTCTTTATATGCATTTTTTCTTTTCTTTTTGGCAGCTGGCCAGTATGGGGATCCAAACTCTTGACCTTGGTATTATAACACCACACTTTAACCAATATATGCATTTTTTAAACTTTTCTTCTAAACTGAGTTCTAACATATGTATGGTAAATCATATTAAATACATAGCTTAAATTTTTTATATAACCCATGTAATTGCTACCCAGATCAAGATATAGACTATTCCTAGTACCCTATAAGGTTCCTTTGTTGTACTTTCCAGGCTATACCTCCAGAATTAACCATTATCCTTACACATATAATAATTGATTAGTTTTGCCTCTTCTTTAATTTCATATATGCGCAATCATAGAGATTCTTGTGTCTCTTGTCCATCAGTTACATATATGTGAGAATCGTCAATGCTCTTGACCACATCAATGGTCCTTTTTTAACCAATCCTTTTTTTACTTAAATAACATTTTTATTTTAGAATAATTTTAGATATACAGAAAAGGTGCAAAACATAGTACAGAGAGTTCCCATGTGTCCCTCAACCAGCTTTCCCCATTATTAGCATCTTACGCTTCTCTAATGTCCTTTTTCTGTTCTAGGATCCCATCTAGTTTACCACATTACATTTAGTCACCATGTCTCCTTAGGTTCCTCTGGGCTGTGGCAGTTTGTCAGACTCTCCTTGGTTTTGATGACCTTGGCAGTTTTTGAGGAGTACTGCTCAGATAACCTGTCAAATGTCTCTCGTGTGGGTTTTTTCTTTTGTTTTTCTCATGGTCAGACTGGGATTTGAAAGACGTGAGAAGTGAAGTGCCCCTCTCGCGTACTGCATGGAGGTCACATGCCATCAGCATAACTTATCACTGGTGCGCCTGAGGCGGTGTTCTCCAGGCTTCCCCACTGTAAAGTTACCTCTCTTCTTTTTTCTGCTCTGCTCTTTGGAAGCCAGTTCCTAAATGCAACTAACGCTCATGGGATGGGGAATTAGGCTCTACCTCTTAAGGGGAGTATCTACGTAAATTAAGCTGAGGAACATTTTATGAATGGTCGCATGAAATAAAAGAAAGTCTTCCATGATCAGCTTGAAAGTTTGGAAAACACGAAGTTAAATAAAGCTAGACATGTTTCTCCACTACGTTATTTCACAGAGCCCTTATTATACTAATGCACATTATGATCCTCTGACTTGGGATATAGAATGCAGAATTTTGCAAATTTATTTTTAACCATAGGACCTCCCCCTCTTTGTTCTTTTGGTCTCATTGTGATCTAAAAATGCTTTTCAAACCTCATAATTATCTGGGAAGCTTGTTTTAAGATGCAGATTCTCACTAGATCTAAATTAGTATCACAAGAGATGGGAATCTAGGACCTTGTATTTCAAGAAACAACTCCCCCAAGTGATGCTGAAGTATTTGGCCTTCAAGAGGTAGGACCTGAGAGCAAGCCTCACTTGCTAACCAGAGTTCAAGGCCCATAAAGACCCCAGGACTGCTCTATTCACCCTTGTTTCATTGATTCAATAAATACCAATGAGCTCCTGGCACTGGTATGGAGACACACAATGTCTCTGCTCTCAGGTAACTTACATTCTTGTAGGGAGAGCTAGATCATTAACCTTTAGACAAGTAACAGGTCAGGTGCTGCTAAGTGCTCTGAAGAAATGTAAAGCAAGCTGTGTGGGGTAGAGAGTGTTGAGCTATTTACATGGGGTTGTTAATGAAGTTTTCTCTGATGTGACATTTGATCAGATTCCAGAAAGAAGTGAGATGTTACGTGTTATGAGGCTATCTGGAGAAACTTATACTAGGCAGAATAAACAGCAAGTGCAAAGTCCCTGTGGCATGAGTGGGTTTGCAATGAAAGGGCTTGATCACTGCCCTGGAGACTTGGGCAAGGAAAGGACAGGAAGGCAGAGTAAGGACAGGCCACACAAGCGAAGAGCAGAAACATGCCTATAATAAGGCCTGAACGGGCACTTTATACTAGGATGTACAAATAAAATGGGAAAGGAGGAGTTTCAACAGAGACTCCAAGTCCCTTAGTTCAAGTACCCTTGAAATCCAGGCAGGGACACTTAGACTGTATCTATAAAAGGAGTCACTGAGGCTTTAGACAAAGGATGATACATGGTAAAATTCCTCTTCAAGCAAGATACACTGGCTTTTGTATGTTTTGTGACAGGATGGGAGGAGGGAGGTGATAGATAAAAGGGAACTTATCATGAACGGACTGATGAACAAATCTTAACCACAGAGCTGCCTAAAATGCTTAGTGGAATAAGGGAAGGAAATCGTCAATCGATTACGGCTTTATTAATTATGAAATACCACTGCATGCAAACAAAATCTGAATTACCTTACACATGAAGAAATGATTAAGCAGGCAACAAGCAGGATTGCCTGACAGGAGACCTCTCGTAATAAACTGGTTTCTAAGAGGAAGAATGAGAACAAATAAATTAGAAATCATTGCTAATTAAATAATCTTGGAAAAACAAAATCATACTAAAATGTCTCTACACACCAAAAAAATCCCTATTTTTTAAATGTATGTCAGTTTAAGCAATTTGGCATAAGTACATAATGCCATTCATTAGAAAATTTCTGTAAATAATCAGTTTCTTCCATTACTATAAAGTAAAAGACTATGCTATATACATAGTTTTGGATAGTTTTGGACTTGCCTTTTACTTTAACATTAGGGAAAATCTTTGTAGAGCTTACGCTAATGTCAGAAATCTAACTTTGATGATGATAATAATAATAATGCCTAAAATGTGTAGAGTGCCTAATAATTCACAAAGAGCTTTCATACATCAATTTATTTTTATCAGCACAACACCTTTGTGAGGTAGATACTATTATCTTAGTTCTGCAAATGAGAAGACTGAGACTGAGAGACATGATGAAGTTGTCCAAGGTCACACAGCTATGCAATGCCAGAGCCAAGAATTAAAAACCATATCTAGACAGAACATAATGTTTTGTCTGAAGTGGGGGCAGGGAAAGACAATTGTAACTTTGCATAATGGGAGTTTCTAAAGGTCTCAAAAGAAAACATATATTATAAAATAGTTTTCCTTGAAAAACTCTTTGAAATCAGTAAAATATTTGTCTTATCAAGCCACAGTGGAAATGACTGCAAATCTTCCAGCAATTATAAACATAAAAGTTAAACCAATCATGAGCCTGAGCATTACTCCAATCACTTAAAAGAAACCAGAGTTAGCTTAAGGATTACCACATAAAGACCTCAAGGTGTAAATAGACCTCAACTTAATTTTTGCCAAATGCTTCAAAAGCTCATTTTGCAAGTTGTTTAAAACTTGGAATGACTTTATGCTATAAATGTATTTATTTTTGCTATTTATGCTATGAATGAGAATTGAAACAGCTAACAAAATCCACTTAGCCCATAATGTGAGTGGAGTACTGAAGATTGGCAATTCAAAATATAGCGGTAATAAATTATGTCACTGCAAGTACACAGTATTTCATGTATACTGTGAATTAAATTATTTATTGTGGGTTCAACTGAACACTCAACCATCTTCCTGAAGGGTGTTTCTATTCTTAGCCTCCCTTGACTCCATGTGAAATTTGGAAAACATTTCCTCACAAAAAGAAATCAAGCTTGAAAAACTGCAAAGATCACTAAACTTGGATACTGAAAGATAAATGGGTTTACATCTGAGTGCCACAAAGTTATAAGTTATGTGGTTTTGGATGAGTTATTCACCAGTTCCTCCCTTCAGTAGCCATTTACTTAGAACCTATTTTGGCTTAGCTCAAAAATAACCTCCTTCAGGAAGCCTACCTTGATTTCTCCAATTCCCCCCCGGCCCTTAGCTGCTCCCTCCCTGAATCCCATTATGCCTTGTTCATGTCTCTGCTAGCTCCCTTTTCATGTTGAATTCAATTTCTGTTTTATTTCTCTACATTCCACTAGACTGCAAGCTTGTTGAGAATAGCTGGCATCTATTGCCTGTTCTCTGGAGATAGTGTTCATATTTTCCTGGGGAAATCACCTCTACCCCTCTCAGTGCATGATGTAGGTGGAGTGACTGATTTTTCTCATTTCCCTTCCAACATTTGATCCATTCCAGGCCTTTTGGAGCTTCACTGCTTGTCAACAAAGTGATCAGTTTTGTCATGTAAATGGGACCCTCCCAGAACCAATGAAACTCAATTCTGGGTCTCTTGTCATAACTCTAGACAGATATAATCTCTTTCTTCTGGACTGGAAACTGGAAAGGTGAAGGCACAGAGCCACCAGAAGCTACCTTGGAGAGAGATCCTTTTAAAGACTAACGCTGACAGAAGAGAAGAGACAGCAAAAGGTGGAGACTCATGGAATCCTGGACTCTATGCCTGAAATTTTCATTAGTATGAGCCAATAAACCACTTGATCAATTAATCCACTTTGAGTTGAGTGTCTGTCCTTTGGAACTCAAGAACCCCTGACTGATGTAGATGATGTTATACACGTCCACACCTTTAACACCTGGAACATCATCTGGAGCAGAATACACACTCAAAACCTACATGTGAAGGACTTAATGAAGGATGGAGACCTGTCCACCCAGGGCTTCATAGCTTAGTGAAAAAGAAGAAAATCAATAGTTTCAAAAGAGGCATATAATATACAGAGTGCTAGGGCATCACTGGGAAGTAAAGTGCTACCTCCACCAGCCAGAAGCAGGCACACAAGGCTCCACAAAGATGGTCACGTTTAAAATGGGCCTTGAGGAAGAGTAGGGGCCATTCAGGTACAGCAGGTGGGAGAGACATTCCAGACACAGTGAAGAGCATACATTTGATCTTGCAAAAATCTTTGTGAAGAGTCCAAAGGCTTACTTGACCTGTCTAAATTTCAGCATTCTTATTTGTAATACAGAGGTAGCATACTTTTTAATTGGTCCACAACAGAGCATCTGCAGTTTGGAAATCACAGGTGGCTACAACCTGGTGCCCATGCTTAATGAGCTCACAGCCTGTTGAGGGAGACACAGAAATAAGCATGCAAGAGCAGCGAAGATCATGGGCATGAGAGATAGGAGCCCTCGTAGGTAAAGGAGCCCTGGGAGCTAAAAGAGCACCAAGTAGGGTGGGCTTCCTGGAGGAGGTATCTGTTGAGCCTTATTAGGTGTTGACAACCTGGAAATTGTCTAAACAGTAAAATATGTTTCTCTATTACCCCAACACCTGGAAAGGGAACTAAAAAAGCCCTTTAACACTTATCTAATAGGTGTGCTGAGGACAAAATGCACATGGCATACCGGTCTTTGTGGGTAGAAGAAGAGATGGCCAGTGAAGTGAAATTTATGATTTTGTGAAGGCAAATAAAGAGAAAATATTGTTTTTCCATTTAACCTCAATCCTATGTAATAACCTCAATCCTATGTAATAACCTCACACTCACTGAGTATTCAATAGACATAACACCATAGGCTTAGAGCAACTGTCTTTGAGTTACAGCCAGTGAGTGGAGAGCTGGGCTGGGATTCTGGGCAAGCTGACTCTCCACCTTGCTGCAACACCGAGTTCAAACATGATTGACCCACTATTAGTAACCTAGAGATTAAGGGACATACTTGCTGAATTTATTGCAGATTTATTCCTGACAGGAAATACCAATACTATAGTATCTTCTAAATTTTCCTTGCCAGGGGTATAGCATTAAAAGATATTCTTTTATTCTTCTTCTTCTTCTTTTTTAGAGTATGTCAAATACACAAGTAAGTATAAAGAGAAAAATAGCTGACACCTGTGTACCCTCTACTCTGCATTATTAAAGTCTAAAGTTTTGCCAAATGCCTTTAGGGTCCCTAAGAAACAGAAAGTACTGTAGACACTGCAGATCCAATGCTTCTGACGCCTCTAAGGTGACACCCACCCCCCTGGGGATGCCTCACGCTGGCTCGGGCAGATGCCCTGCATCCTCCCCTCCCCAAACAGGTTGATACCAGTAACTAAGTGTACATTAGTCATCTCAAAATCATCCCTAGGCCCTGAAAGGAAGAATACTTTGGGTGTGGCAAAGATTTAAAAAACAGCAACATACAAAACCTGAACTCACTTGAATGATCCCAAATGTTCCCTCGGAAATGTTTAGACACCATTAACTGGAACTGAAGACAGGAGTCACGGGAGTCTTCTCTGGGAGGCTGAGATGTGATGTGGTCGGAAAAGGAGGCTTTTGTAGATTCTGCATTCAGCTTCTCTGACTCCCAGTCATCAGTGAGAGAAGTAGAGTCAAAATCACCTCCTGGAAAAGCAGAAGTGTTCAGTGTGTGTGTGTGTGTGTGTGTGTGTGTGTGCTCACTGCTCAATGCACAGTTCCTCATAACACTAGTAATGCTGACACACTGTTGGAGTCAGATGGGAGAAGGAATTCTGGATGAGATGGTATTTCAAATGGTCTTCATCCTTGATTGCTGAAGAGAAGAAGGCTCTTGAGTTCAGAGATAAGCAAAGTCCAGAGGCAGGAAAGTTTGGTGAAGGAAGCCAGTTCCAATGCAGCTAGAACAAAGTGACCAAGGGGACCCCAGTGGAGTATAAAGCCGCAAAACCAGATTGAGGACTGGTCGTGAAAGGAACTGACTTCCGGCTGTGGAGGTGGGAATTTGTGCTGCAGGCAGTGGGACTGATGGACTATTTCTGGATGAGAGTGGCACTATACACACACTTATGTGGCTTTTTAATGTCGGTATAATAACGTGTGGTTTTGATATATGATAAAATCCAGGTGGCCCTGAAAGAAATCATGAAATGGTATCCTAAGACCCATGTACAGAAAGAGACAGGATATCTCACTCACCCTTAATCTTCAAGTGATGTTAGGGGTTGTGTGAATGGATTTGAAGGATGTGTGGTGGACATATGAGCCTCACGTCTTTATAGCACCAAACATTATAGCAGAGCTAACTCCCTTTTCTGCTTCTCACTCATTCATTCATTCATTTAAATATTTATTGAATGTGACCATATATCAGAAACTGACCTAGCTGTTGGGATACAGTGCTGGATTAGAGAGATGTCATCTCAGCCCTCAGATGGCTTATGTTCTGGTGGGGGGTGAAGGAGAAAATATCTTGTGCTTAAATGTCATGAAGGAAATCCTCCTCCTATAAAATACATTGAAGTGCTGGATAACATATAGCAACACTTGTTTGAGTTCTTTCAAAGAGACTATTGAATGCATACATAGTTTCATGAACATATACCCGTGCTCTTCTATGATGTTTCATACATAAATATATTTTACTGGCCCTAAAGTTAGCCTGACATTCCCTCAAAAAAAGTCAAGTTCATCTCAAAAGCACACAATACCAAGCTTCAAACATGCTAAGATAACTCCTAGTAACAATTGATGTCTTCAATATGGATCACCTAGGGACGAAATTTAATCCTTGATTCTTGAGCTGAGTCAGGAATTAAGGAGTCTGAAACTCCCCAAGTCAGTGATTCATTGGAAAGGATGAATGTGTTCAGAATGACTTTCAACCACAGGGAAAGTTAAGCACTTTATCTGCGACTCAATCACTGGAAGTCTCCCATTTGTTTCATCTTGCATAAATACACCTAAGAATTCTCTTGGTTCTGTCTTTGGTGGTCTCTGTGATTTCCACCCAGGGCTTAATTTTATTATGGTGGCCTTGTGTAAGAATCTGAGCCAGTTTAGAGCTCATGGACCTGGAGGCAAAGCCACTCAGAAAGAGTAGCCAGAAGTTCTTCCATGGAACATAGGTGTTCCTTAGGGTGATATCTAAAGACTGCACATGTTCATATGGGTTGAATATGTCACCCCAAAGATTCATGTATTAGAGTTGTAATCCCCACTGTCACAGTTTTAAGGGAGTGGGGATCTTATTATGGTAATTGAAAGGTGGGACCTTTAAGAGGTGACTAGATTGTGAAGATTGAATCCTTGTGAATGGAATCACCATTCATGGGATAATGGGCATGGTTCTGATGGCTTTATAAGATGAGTGACTGAGCAGATTAGCTCTCTTTCTTGCTCAAGCCATTCACCATGTAATACCCTGAGTCACTGTAGAGACACCACTGACAAGGCCCTCACCAGATGTATCCCCTGAACTGTGGACATTCCAGCCTACAAATTGTAAGAAATAAATTTCATTTATTTATACATTACTCAGTTTCAGGTATTCTGTTTGCTATGGGTAGAATGTGTCCCCCAAAGTTTCATGTATTAGAAACTTATTCCCTACTGTGACAGTACTAAGAGGGTGGGAAATTGTACTATGGTTATTGAAAGGTGGAGCCTTTATGAGGAGATTAGCTTGTGAGGACTTTATCCTGAAATGGATTGATCCATTTGTGGAGCAATGGGTATGGTTCTCATGGCTTTATAAGGAGAGTGAATGAGTGGGTTTGCTCTCTCTTGATCAGAAATTGACACCCTGTGTCACTACATGACACCCTGCATTGCTGCAGAGAGTCACCACCAAGAAAAAGGCCCTCACCAAAAGTGTCTCTGAACTGTGGACTTCTTAGCCTCTTAACTATAAGAAATAATTTTCATTTTCTTTATAAATTAGCTAGTTTCAGGTATTCTGTTTTAAGCAATAGAAATGGACTAATACAGATAATGGGTACCAAAGAGTTGGATGTTGCTTATAACAAGTACCCAAAAATGTGGAAGCAGCTTTTGAACTGGGTGATCAGAAGAGAGTGGGGGAATTTGAAGGAGAAGGCTAGAAAAAGCCTAGATTCTGGTGAGAGTTTAAAAAACAAGAAGAGAGAATATAATGTTTAGAGTGCCATCCCAGGTGGCCAGACCCACAGAGGTGAGCCCAGCAGAACTGCATGGCACTGGGGGTCATTCTACAACCACAGATTTTGGAACAAGACCCAGGGTGATTTAACTTCACCACCACCACTCCTACTGTCAAGCAAAGACAATTCACCACCACAGTAACAACCAGGGCCACTCCACAGCCAACCTCAATGTAATAGAAGAAGCAAACCCTCTACGAAATGACAAACCGTCAATGAAAAAAAATACTAGAACTACAAAAACACAAGAAAAAATGATACCACTGAAAGAATACAGTAATGCTCCCAAGTTAGACTCCATGGAACAGGGAATCCTTGAAATGACTGAAAAGGAATTCTGAGCAATGACCTTAAGAAACCTTGAAGAAATAAAGGAAGACTCAATTAGAGAACATGATGAAACAAGAAAAAATATCCAGAATATGAAGGAGGAAATCTACAAAGAGATTAATACCTTTAAAAAGAGTGTAGCAGAACTTCTAGAAATGAAAGATTTACTCAGTGAAATAAAAAAACACAACTGAGAGCTTGAGCTGCAGGGTAGAGCAAGCAGAAGAAAGAAATTCAGAGCTTGAAGTTGGTCTTTTTGAAATAACTAAGGCAGACAAAAAAAAAAGAAAAAAGAATTTAAAATAATGAGGAAAATCTAAGGGAGATAGCAGACAACCTCAAGCACTCTAACATCTGAATTGTGGGTATTCCTGAAGGGGAGGAGAAAGGAAAAGGTATTGAAAAACTACTCAAGGAAATAGTAACAGAAAACTTCCCAGGTGTAGGGAGAGATACAGACCTTCAGATCCAGGAAGCTCAAAGGTCCCCAAAGAGATTCAATCCAAAAAGATCCTCCCCAAGACACATTATAGTTAAATTTGCAAAGCTCAAAGACAAAGAGAATTCTACAAACAGCAAGAGAAAAGTGCCAGGTCACTTATAGAGGAACCCCCATCAAACTAACAGCAGATTTCTCAACCAAAACTGTACAGGCCAGAAGAAAGTAAAATGATATACTCAAAATACTGAAAGATAAAAATTGACAGCCAAGAATTCTTTACCCAGCAAGGCTCTCTTTCAGGAATGAGGGAGAAATAGTGTATATCCCAGACAAACAAAAGTCGTGGGAGTTTACAACCACACACCCAGCCCTGCAAGAAATTCTCAAGGGAGTACTTCATCTGGAATCTGAATAATGGTGACCACTACCACAGGTACACAAAAAAGAGCAAAACCCACCATTAAAACAAGAATGCCAGCAAGAAAGAGAAAGAACCTAAATCATCCCACCTTAAATTTCCAACTAAAATCAAAGAAGAGAAATAAAAGGGGAAATAATGATCAAAAGGTATTTAAACCATCTAAACAAGAAGCAATTAAATGACAGGAATTAAGCAACATTTGTCAATAACTACCCTAAATGTGAATGGACTAAACTCCCCATTCAAAAGACACAGACTGACTGATCAGATTAAAAAGCTAGACCCAAGTATATGCTGTCTCCAAGAGACCCACTTCACCTGTAGAGACACACATAGACTAAAAGTGAAGGGATGGAAAAAGATATACCATGCAAATGGAAACCAAAAATGAGGAGGAGTAGCTATCCTTATATTGGACAAAATAGACTTTAAACCAAAAAACATAAAAAGAGACAAAGAGGTCACTACATAATGATAAAGGGATCTATCCAGCTAGAAGACATAGCAATCATAAACATGTATGCACCCAATATTGGAGTACCCAGATATATAAAGCAAACACTCTTAGACCTAAAGAAAGAAATGGGACCTAATATATTAATAGTGGGTGATCCAAACAACCCTCTCTCAGTATGGGACAGATCTCCCAGGCAACAAGTCAACAAAGAGACACAGGATTTAATCTGCACCTTAGACCAACTGGATCTGGCAGATATATAAAGAACATTTCACGCAACAACTAAAGAATATACTTTCTTCTCATCAGCTCATGGAACATTCTCCAAGATAGACCACATATTAGGTCACAAATCTAGTCTCAGCAAATTTTAAAAAATTGAAATCATTCCAGGTATATTTTCAGACCACAATGCACTAAAATTGTAAATAAATAACAAGCAAAACTCTGGAAACTATATAAATACATGAAGACTAAATAATAGGCTCCCAAATGACCTATGGATCCAAGAAGAAATTAAACAGGAAATCAAATAATTTCTAGAAACAAATGAAAATAAAGATACATCATACCAAAACCTGTGGGATACTGCAAAAGCAGTACCAAGAGGGAAATTTATTGCAGTAAATGCTTATATCAAAAGAATGGAAAGTCTTCAAATAAATGGCCTAACACTACACCTCAAAGAACTTGAAAAACAACAACAATCCAAACCTAAAGGTAGCAGACAGAAAGAAATAATTAAGATCAAAGTGGAACTAAATGAAATAGAGACCCAAAAAACAATAGAAAAGATCAGCAAAACAAAAAGTTGTT